TAGGACAGAAAGTGACTTCTATACTTTTAAAATTTATGCAAAACTTAGGAGGTCTTTAGACCGAGCCAACTATATAATTTTCAGGAATAATTAATTTTATTATATAGTGAAATCCCACAACAATCCCAACACATGTAAAAAAATATCATTATGTACTTGATGTAATTTGCCCTGTGGAGTATATATTTTTATTTATTAATAAAGCAATGACATCATGTGTAAATATTAGAACTGCACATGAAGAGAATACATGCAAAAATTTATATTGCGACAACATTCCCAACTAATTGTTTTACAGCTGGAATTATAAAGCCTAATATGCCCAACTTCTTCTTTTTATTTCTTTTTTCTCCCAAACATGTATGTCAGGATAGTTAACCTCCAACCAATGCTTTGCCCTCTCCAAATTCTCCTGATTATCAAAATATAAACATAAGGTTTCATCTAACCAGTTCCACCAACAGAATAAGTTCAAAGCTGTAAAACACTCCATCACCTCTTTGTCCCTCCAATCCCGAATTGTATCACCATCAGTGATTTCAAGAACTTGTTTTTTTCCAGTAGGTTCAGGTCCATAGCCACATGAGAAATACTTATAATAAAGATCCAAAGGTTTGAAAAGCACATTTGATTTAAGATCCTTAGACATTCCTAAAGGCAAATTATTTTAGTATGCACTTGGACAACCCATGTGACTTCAAACACAACAATATTTCCATACCAGAACTCCAGAACCATATCTCGATTGCCCATCCTTTATTCAAAACTTCATCTATTACTGGAACATAGTCACCATCACCAGCAATTAGCACTAATATACCAGGATTATAATTTTGAATGGTATACATTATGGAGACACCAATTTTCATATCAACCTTCTTCTCACGGTTTTCAGCATTCTGATCATACACTGTTACCTCATATCCTTGTTTTTGAATGCGCTTCCATAGTGAGTCATTTGGGGGCAGATGAGAACCAATGAGAACAGGTGCACCACCAAGGCCACATCCATCTTGAACTGTTGCAAGAAGTTGTCCATATTCAATATGAAGCTGATTAATATGGTACAAATTTTTTCAGTGTCAAAAATATGCTCAAGTTGGCCAATATTAAATTTTCCCTCAATAAAGATGTTGGAATTGTCAGCAAACTAAGGATACCGGCTGCAACTTTTGATGATGGTTGCTACCACCTTTGCATCATATAAAAATGGTTGCAACTGCCTTTATGACCATTTTGTTTCCTTTTTTGGGTTGCGACATGGAACACTACAGCAAACACATGTTATATCTAGCTACATAAACCCTTTAGTAAAATTTATATATCTGTGAAGATCTGCACCCAGAATTTAAAATACACTTACGTTTTTTGAGTTCATTGATAAAGTCTGCAATTCTTATGGCTGTTCCTACTGGAAGATTAAATGCTTCTATAAGTTCTTTTTTAGTCAGAAGGAGAAAGTCTTGACCAGAAACCTTTTGTTTTTCAAATATTATAAGTTCATCCTCTTTGAGTTCTAGCTCTTCCTGTCTTCGTAAAAATTCAATAAGTTTACTCTTCTTCATCTTTTTAATTTCGTCAGGTAGTGAGAGAACATCTTTTTCTGTTATTGTAGTGGGAGTGGCCATGGCGTTTCTTTTACAGGTAAATTGGTAGTTAATATTAATATTAATCTAATCGGGAAAATCTGTCATGTGACAAAAATCATACATTAATGGGGCTGTGCAAACAAATTTCTTTACATCAACTATTTCATGCTTGCGTTTAAGAAAGATCCTGTAGAATATATTTACGGATTTCCCTCTGATTTTCGTGAAGAAAATGGTCAAAGAATACATAGGAGGTAAGTACTATATTGTATACGTGTTGCAGAAGATCAAGGTTATGGATTAAAATGAAAGACTTGAATCTATGGAATTGACATGCTCAGATCTCACACAACAAAAAATTGTGCAAGTTCCAAAATTTAGCTACAGAGTAGCCTCACTCCGTGAGTGGCAATGCTATTATATCTAAAGAGGATGAGGTATATTGACAAGACTATATCAAAGAAGTTAGAATGCTCCTCAAAGATACAGATGTCAGTATGGATCTGGATAATTATGTTTAATCAAGCAAAAAATATAGATATGTGAACTTATTATTATTATTTATGAATAGCAGGTATTCTGGGCCAGAACGATATCATATGACATACACAGTGGATCTACTTGTTGATTATATATGATACATTTATTAAAAAATTATACAGTAAAGCAAAGGTGAGTGTCAAATATTCTATTCATGGGATGGGAAGTTTTCCACGATATACTTAACCTCATTTCTTGTCAAATCTGAAAAACTAGATGCAGTAAAAGATTTAACCTGCTGGATCTTATCGTTCTTTTGTGTACCATAGCCTAACTGAGATCTTTCAAAAGTTTTTCTTTAACTACATCAATATCACAATACAATTTATGAAATTGATTAGATATGTCTTCCATATTGGCATCTTTGGAAGATGTGTTGATTAACGGTTCATTGGAGATTGGAATGACGGATAACTCTTTTGTGTTTTTGTGCCCCTAGGCTTGCCTTGACAAGTATCTTCTTTTTCTTGGAATTTTCTTTCTTTCTGGATGTCTCGTGAATAGAAATGACTGATATATTGCCTGTTGGGGGCAGTACCTATCATGGCCAGTAATTTGTTTTCACCTATGTTTATGTATGCGATTCTAGCTTTTTTGATACTTGCAGTTATATGGTTCGTGGTAATTAAGCCTATACGAGATGCAAGGAAAAAAGAGTCTACTCAAAACATGCTTTTATATAAATAAATTTTTCAGTAGTAAGAATAAATTTTTTGAATCGGCAGTATGTAAAAGCACAATAAATTTTTCGATGTGGTAGTATGCAAAAGTACAATCAATTTTTTAATTCAGTAATACGTCAAAGTAAGAAAATTTTTCAAGGTAATTTTTTGATATGGTAATATGTAAAAGTAATATGCAAAGGTATCCAATTTTTTGATTTGGTAGTACATAAAAGTATGATCCAATTTTTCGATCCAGTAATACGTAAAGGTAATATGTCAAAGTATGATCCAATTTTTTAATCCAGTAATACATAAAGGTAATGTGTCAAAGTATGATCCAATTTTTTTGATCCAAAGTAATACACAAAAGTATAATCTGATTTTTGATGTAATGTATCCAATTTTTATAGTGATACACAAAAGTGCAATAAATTTTTCAATAGTAAAATGACAAAGCATAGGTTGATTTTTTGACAAGAAAAAATGATACTCAAGCATCAACTATGCGAGAAAGTGTTCCAGGACCGCAAAACGTAGTATACTTTTGGTGATAGCCAAAAGTATAATTATTATAGAAAGATATATATTATAAAAATTGTGCTTTTGCATATCACCAAATAGATACGATTCAGGTATAGAAAAAAGTGATACCCAAAAGTATAATTATTATAGAAAGATATATATTATAAAAATTGTGCCTTTGGATAACACCAGGTAAGTATACAATTTCGGCACTACATGCCTCAAAGCTGGCATTTGAATGCATCACAAAAAACCAGATCATGAATACTGTTTCGGCACATCATGCCTCAAACCTGGCATTCGAATGTGACATGCAAAGCCAAAATACGGATTGCCAATTCAGCATTTCATGCCTCATCTCCCACAATTGAAAAAGTTGGCAGTTTGCCTAGGAAATACATTTTTTTACAGCTGGCCTATAAAGCCAAATAGCATAACAATTATAAAAATCTAACCAAAATCTAACCAAAAAATTCCAACTGATATCTTTTTTACATATCAGAAACAGGCTCTAAAGCATTTCCAGAAAAAAATTGTCCTTTGATAAAAATGGCCCAGATCAAGTTCCTGATATACACCTAAATCTAACCAAAAAATTCCAGATGATATCTTTTTCACATATCAGAAACCATCTCTAAAGCATTTTCCTGGAGTGGTACTTATAGATGATTGTCCACACATGTGGACAATGGACACAAATGTTACATGGCGAAGTCTGAAAATGCAGAAATCAGACACCTTCTTAAAATATATACTCCGCTCATCAACCCACAATCAATACCGGGCACATATTTTTTTTTCATCCAAATGCTGGCACAAACTTGAAGACGCAGACAACCACAAAATAGTCTAATTTATTAATAATTACATCATTGCAGATTTGCAAACCAGGATGCTTTGCATCTAGTTCAGGCATAGCCCTCACAATTGGCACTTCGTGCCTCAGCCTCAGGTGATGAAAGCAATCAAAGGGCCAAAGAAAGCCGAAAACCTCATCGAAAGGAAGCAAATATCAAGCCAATTAGGCACCAAAACAGGCACCCAAAAATGAGTAGGTATCAGTCTAGTCATAAGTATGTAACAGTCTAATGCAAGTAGGTTGCAATATATATATACTGCAACCTACTATTACTAAGGTTTCCAGTCCAAACTGTTTTCTCAAATCCCAAGCTAGTTTGGACAATTTGGGCTTCTCAACATTTTTTATAAATATGAACATTAAAAAACTATACCAATCAACTTATTTTAACTTAAACAACTTTAAAGTAATTTTACCCAATTTTGGCTAATAACAAAAAATAGTTTTGGCTTATAAAAAAGTAATTTTTGCCCAAAATGTTTCAGCAATTTTGGCTACTAATAAACAGAGTTTCAACCAGAAACCTTAATAATCACTAAATTTAGACTAATACTTGACCATCATATCTAAATTTGGCAGTAAGAAAATAATTTTTTAATCAAAATCACATGAAGCTCTTTTTTAAAAAATTTTTATTGCATTTTTGAAATTTGGGCATATGGCATGGCAACAGGAGGTCTTTAGACCAAGCCAAGTTGAATTTTTTAGTTGATAATCACATCCATATTAGGCAACACAATATTGCCGATTTTACTATTTATGGAATGACTAGGAATATCACATGACCAAACAATTTTTAGATTGGAAATTTTTTCTCTACATAATAAAAATTTACACATTTTTTTTAAAGATATATTTTAAATTTGTGCATAATTAATATAAATTATTATTAAAATGTCAACTCATGAAAGAATTGAAGAGGAATTGTTTTTAAATCTATTTCAAGTGACTGGTTCAGATGTATTTGATATAAGTTTTGATGAAGATGAGTTGCCCTTTGAACCAGATAAGTATTTTGTTGTTGTTTGTCATTATCAATAGAAGAAGTTGTCCTTTGGACTGGATAAATATTTTGTTGTTGTTTGTCAATATAGTAGAAGAAGCTATCCTTTGAACTGGGATAAATAATTTACCATTGTTGTTGTTTGTCATTATTAGTAGAAGAAGCTGACCTTTGAACTGGGTAAATCCTTTGCCATTGTCATTATTAGTAGAAGGTGCTTTTTGAATTGGATGAACACTTTTCATCACAATATCAATTATCATTTAGTGTGCTTCAAAATAATTGTAATGAATTTAATTTGTGAAAATTCTGAATTGAATCTTTTCAATTTCTAATGATGGTGGTTATAAGGCAATTGAAAAATCAACAATATTGTTTGTGGCGGAAAGTGATTATTTCAAAGTTGAAAAAGAAATTGACATCTGGCATTATGTTATTATTCAATGGAGAATTGGACAATTCGAAAATTTGGAAGAAGCAAAAGAGGAGGAAGAAAAAGAAAATCAATTGAGTTGAGTCAATATTCTCCAGTAAATAAAAAACCAAAATTAGTAAAACTGGTTCAGAATGGGAATGAAGATAATGTAATTGAATTGAAAACAAATTTGAAGGAGATTATTCCACCAATTAAGTTTAATATGATCCCTTTACATAATTTCAATGAAAAATCAAACCTTATAAAGAGATTATTATAAGGAAGTTTACAAGAACTAGTGATCACAATCATCATATTCATGAATATTCATTAAGGGGGTTACACTTATCAAATCATACAAAAATCCCTTAAAATTATGTGTCAATCACTTGATTTTGATAAGTGCAACCCTCTTAATGAATATTCATGAACATGATGATTGTGATCACTACAAAAATTGATTCAATATTATCATCACAATGACAAATGGTAACCAAGATTATTGGTTCAAAAAGGTCCAAGAATTAGAAAATTATTGACTTAAAAGTAAATTCATTAATTTCTAGTTGGATTGATGAAACAATTTAAATTTGAATTGTTTCTTGGTAGTTCTCAAGATGGATGTGGAAGATCAGCATTTGAGAAAAAATGTTATGATATTCCACAAACTGTGACAATTATGAAGTTTAAAGAAACTAGTCAATTAGTTATCAGAAAATTTTGAAAGTATTGATCTATACTGATAAATGCATTAGTCAACATCAGATTATTGTGTAATTTATGTTGATAACAATGTTGATTTACACTTTTAGCTTGATTTATTAATAACATAAATAAATGCACAACAATCTTTAATAACAGTTGTCTGAGGTATTTATTGTTATCGGTTGTGGAAAAGAGATTGTTTTTCATTAATGCAAACACCAAAGCCACTTATTATTCCACAAGTTATTGTCCACAAATTTTAATTAACTATCTATATGAAAAAAAAAACACATACCAACATACCAAAGAAAAACATATATAGAACATTAAACCATCCCGAAAGTTTTAAAGGCACTTTACTAATATTTAGCTAGCAATAATAATTAATAATAATAATAATAATAATAATAATAATAATAATAAACAATTCACAAATTAGAGGTCCAGGGTATTCACTTCTAAATAAGGCGCAGTGAGTGATCTATTAGGTAAACGAAACTACCTGAATCAAATGATGTGGTGGTAACAGTATCACTGTGCATGTTTGGATTTTAAACAATCTATCAGTAAATGATTGGCTATTGATGATATTTGAGGAAATCCATAAAGATGAATAAGTAGTGGTGGATTTTCATTCAATCCTAATAAATTGTTGTTGCTTTATTGATTTTAAGACTTTTCTTTTTCTTTCTCTTCCATATTTTGTTTTGTGAAATTCTTTTGCTTCTTCTACCATTTTAATAAAACTGCTTTAACTTCAGCTGGTTCCTCATTCTATCGTTTAGCTATAAAGCCAGAAATATCAGTCATTGAGTATTGACAATTTTCTTGTTTTTATTTGAATTTTCTTTTATTATTTAATTAGTGTTGGTTTCCAAAACTAGAGAGTTTTGCAACCATGCGAAAGTCAAAAGGTTTCGCCCTAATTCAAAACTAGTTTTGATTTTTGACCATTGACTTTTGATTTAGTTTTGACATATAACTTTTAATTTTAGTTTTGACTTTCATATCTTCGAAATAGTTTTGGCAACCAACACTATATTTAATATTTATTATCAGTCTATTCATAATACAAGTTTCTTATTAGATTATTTGTAACATAACTCAATTTTAATTCATTTTGTTTTCGTCATTTTGTTCATTTATTCAAATTACAAATTATTCACTTTATTTGTTTTATTAGTTATTCGAATTGCTCATTTTATTCATTTAACATATAGATTTTCTATTCAAATTTGAAGATTATTATTAACGATGGGTTGTATAATATAATTGTCATGTTCATAAATTCTTGAATCAGATGATTCATCAGCAAAAAATTAATATCCATTAGTATTAGGTATTTCTATAATCAGGTTCACTATCATCCATCAAGTCAAAATTAACTGTCATTTCATTGACAACCTCCTCAAGAGAAATGTTTGCTTCAGAGATGGAGGTGATTAATTATTGATTAACTTCAGATGATATTTCATAATTATCATATCCATTGCCAATTCAACTAAACCAACATATTTAGAAGAGTGCTACTTCATTGTAAGCATTATCAAAAGCAACTCTAATGATAACATAATCTGGCCAAATATGTAATAATTGGCTATTGAATTTTATGGATCCTTTAATATAGTCAGTCACACACATAAGCTATCAAATAATATTTCTTTGGTATAATATACTTAAATCAAATGGCTAAGAAATAATGTGAAATTGCCTGTGCAAACTGACTTTTCTTTATTATTTGATAAAGAATCATTAAGTTATGTTTGGGTTGCATACATGTTAATCTTTGGCACAAGATATAAAAGATCAGAATAACAAAGTCTTTCATTAATTTTCTAGTCATTCTAAAAAAATGTTTGCATGCTTCGCTACCATGCATCCAAGGTAAAAATGGGATTGCGGGATAGTATTCATGACGTGAAATGATCTGGAATGCATATTTATAAATCAAGCATGTCAATAGTGAATATACCAATAATAATTTTACCATTGATTTTGCTAAAGAAGTTAACAACTTGTAAGTTTGGAAGCAAGGATATTTTTTTCTAATGACATGAAGAAACTATATTGACTTGCTGTTATTTCAATATGTTTATGCTAAATATTTCAAAAAAAATACCCAAGCATTACCATATGACAACTTTTGAGGTGGGAAACATCATTGTTCAAAAATGCATCAATTAGTTCATTTATATTATTAAAAAATTGTAATATTTTTACATACCTATTACATAAACATAGACAAACAATCTTGACTTATTATTTAATATACTGTTGTTTAAAAATAATGATATTTGTACCAAATCAAGAAGAAAACGATCTATGAGCTGTTGAATATAACATCTTAAAACATCACTAATGAAAAGCTGAGAATTATTCATTCTTGCTAAATCTAAAATATCACCAACCAAAATTATATGTAGAATTTCCAAATGACAGTTGTCTTGCACACTAAAAATGCTATTCCGACCTTTTTTTTTTTTTTGCATGATTTGGATCAGTAACTGCTAAAACTGGTTCAACAAGAATAATTTAATACCTAGTGATTGATGATGTAATTAGATTTATTAAAATAATAATGATGATGAATATTAAAATGAGTGGAATATTATGAATACGCCATAATAATTATCAATAAAAGCTAATTTCTTCCCTGCTGAAACGTTCATGATATCGATTACTATGTGCCCCAAATTCTGGTGCATCTGTATCAGCACTGTTTTTACATTGAATTGTTTAGCAAGACCTGGAATTTGTAGTGGATTTTTGTAATAGTAACTGAAGTTTCACTACCATCTGTTGGCAATAGTCCCAGGACAAAATGTGGAACTTGTGGTAGAGGAACTTGCAAATTCACCTTGGAGAAGCGATTGGATGTTGAACCAAAAATGTCCATCTGTGATGGTTATCATGCCAACGATTGCTGTAAAAAAATAAATTTAAGTGTGCCATTTTATCAAAAATTTAATCTTTATTCAACTAAAACGGAGTATTTTACAAAGATTTGCAGCATGTTTAACCTATATAAAATTTGATTTTTGTGCAATATACTAGAGAAATGGCGATGCTGAATGATGAAAGTAAATCCATTTAAGCAAACTATAAATCGCTCTACTTTAATTGGGTACAGTGGAACGTAATACTTTAGAATTAAAGAAGTTTTTTAATTTTATTTTTGCTAAAAAAGAAATTTTCTCTCATTTCCACAACCACTCACACGCTCACATATCTTCATTATTATTATTGTAAATTTTTTACATATTGGTGTAGTCATTTTATTTTATTCCATTCCTACTTTAATATGGAAAGCCAAAGGTGGCACACATGTGTATTGGTGATTATTCAATGCGTGTAGATATTTTAGGAAGCCAACAAATTATATAAATAATTTTTAAAATATAAAATCTGTGTATATTTTGTATTCCTTCTAATATTAATATTAATATTAATAAATGATTGCTGAATATGAAATCCGAAATTATTTGAATTCTTATTTTATGTTCACTCATATAAACTATTGCCTTTTTAAAGCAAATTCTCGCTACCATTCATAATTGAATACGTTTGATTTGAAACTGTCAAATTGCCACCACTTACACTTTTAGATGATAGTGATGACAAATAATTAGATATTCTGTTGCCTATCAATAATATTCAAGACAATTTATTCTTTATACTCTTCATTAGTAGTTTTACTATTTTCCTTTTCATTTATTGTTGAACGTCTATACTACGTTAAAGATTTGTTTTCGATGTACTGTATTCGTAATGTTTGCCAGTTTGCATTTTATATAATTAATTATAGTAATTATAATTAATAATTATAGTTTACAAGTTTATAACACTATCTTTTTGTATTACTATGTATTTCATTGACAATATAGGATTGTGTTCAAATTATATGAAAACCAAGTTTCATGTGGTCTTATTATCTTGTTAAAGAAACCTTAACGCTAACAAGTAAATATAGCTCGAGATGGCACATCAATCTAAATGTCTATAATAATAAAACGGATTTTATTAAACTGAAAATAGTTTTTTATTGTAAAATGACTCTTTTCCTTTATCTGTTATTTCCATTAATTTACTAAAATAGTAATAATGAATGATTTACAATTTTTTATGAAACAATTGGATGGCAATAAACAAATTGAGCGAATAAACCTTTACCAGCGAATGGTTTGATTATGGTTTATTTTGGTATGATTTATCAGATTGAAACTTGTGCTCAAGCCAATGCTTGTTATTTTATACAGGAAAGCCTATATTATTGAGTAAAAACGATATTATCGGCGAGCTCAAAAAAAACTGTCGTTGTTTACCGACAAATTTTGTTTTTGACGGATTTTATCGTTGGTATTCATTATGAAACTATTAAGTAACTATGCGATAGAAACAAGCATGATAAATGTAAACAAATAATAATGGCAAGTAATACGTAAAAATTATGGAATCTCTATCTTGGTGTAATTTATACAGTAGTAATAAAAGAGCCGTATATATTACCTAATTTAAGTTCTTTCCAAGATTCAAATCATTAACAATAAGTTTTATTACCAATACTATTTCATAGTTGTAAATTAAATTCTATGTTATCACAAGTAGCATTGATATGAACAATTTGTTTATGCACATCCAATACTTTTGACCTTATTTCAAAATGTAATTATTCATTTTGCTTTCATCAATCTTAAATATATTCAAACTAGTCCGACCTTGACAACCAACAGTTTCATCTGTTTCTTTAATTTTTATTACAGCTATATTTTGTTGAGTCCCCTCAAAGAATTAATTCAAATCCAACTAGAAATTAAGTATTTAATATGTAAATTTAATATTCTTGCTCTTGGACCTTTTGAAGTAATAACATGTATCATGACTAAAGATGATAATATTAAAGGAATTTTTATATAAAATTTTCTTAAATGGTGTAAATTCTTCATATTAATGGAATTAATAATACCTTGTAAATTTTTTAAAACTCTGAATAACACAACTCCAAATTTCAATTTCCCTTACTAATAAAGATATTATAGCATAGATCTATGAAATCAAAAATTCAGGATTATTAAAAAATTTCATAATATCATATTCGATAGTAATCTATTTATGTCAACGCCCCAAATATTATATATAAAAAAAAATGTGAAGATAATAAAAATTTATAAATAGTTTGACGAGCAAGTATATAAGCATAATAATGATAAATCAATTTAATTTTACAATCTCTCTTTACCATCCACCCAATCAATGACTTTACTATACCGCTGATCTAGTTGATGAAAAATTTAACAAATCGGCTTTCTGACGACTTGTATAGAATGATTTATCTAACAAGTATTTTACTTAATTAATGATTTTTGTTACTTAGCTTCTGCTAATTTAACAATCTTTTTTTTTCCTTTTAGATGAGTAATAATATTCTCCAAAACAATTGTAAATTTCTTTAGCTGCTGGACTATTTTCTGAATTATGATCCCGACATCTTTTCATCAATTCGGCACAGAATTCAGGAGTACCATCTGTGATTTGAGACCTTACTCCTTTTAAACATCTAATACGAAATAATGCTTATGAAAGGGGTTTCTCTGATATATGTTCCATATTATAATCTAAATTTGTATATGATTTTTTTGAGGTGCAAAGATTTATCTTTTTTACTATACAAGTGTAATTACTATATGAATGTTCTTTTAATCTAGTCCATAAAAAAATTTTGTATATATATATACATATTTATGTAAATTAAATAACGAATCCGACCTTCTGAAATATATTGAAATTTATTTTAATTTTTGTGTAAATTCCCTCAATAATAATAAGTATTCTCATTTGAATCTTTAGTGATTTCATAACATTGTTAACAAAACGTCCAAATTTATTATTTGTTTTTGGTTAAAAATAAATCATTATTATATTCATTGTATAATGAATATAATAGAACCATATTTATAAATATTTGCCTCTTAAAATATATAAATTTGATCACAGGAATTATATTCTATTTGCAACAATCCGTGTTGTTTTGTGTACTCCAAATCCACCTTTGGCTAAATATTCAATGTTTTTAAATTCATTGAATGTAACTGTTTCATGTAATTATTAAATAAGATTCTAATTCTATTTATTAATTCATCACCTAATTTATGGATTATTTGTGCTTTCTTATCTTCATGTTCTTCCTGCCTAAATCTTTTTTCATTTAATGAGTCATAAAATAAATTTGTTTGATTCATTTAGTTGGGTGAGTGATTCATTCAATGGATTGAACATATTCTCTTTTGACACCTGTCACCATTTCATTTGTTTATTTTAAAACCTAATTGGCCAATTCATCGCCTAATTTATAGGTTTCTTATCTTCTGGTACAATTTTCTATTTTTTTAATATGTCAAGTAATTTATTTGATTCATTTAGTATAATAATGTATAGATTTGTGGTGCGAGATTGCGATTATACTTTAAAGTTATTATTAAAATAAAGGGTTATAATATTAGTAAATATTTATATACAATGAAAATTATAGTTTTATAAAGAAAAATACTTTAACGGACAAATCCATGTTCGGTTTTGTACTGTAATAGTAACGCTTTACTCCGAGAATCTTGAATTGACACCTTGATGGAATTTTTTATAAACTAAATTTTGTAGAATCCATTCATTTTTTCTTTAAAGAATAAAGTATAATTCACCACGCACTTCAAGAAGTTGAACAATTTTTGTATTAATGAATGATTCCGCTGTATATACCGAAAGTTTCGGTCACTACAAATCAAATAATTACGCAAAAATATACATAATAAAAATATAATTATTATATCATTTCGTAGCTTGGATTCTCAAAAACAAGCATGCAAAATCTCAAGTTCCTGTGATTAAAAATAAAAAAAATAAAAAAATTCAATTGCTCAAAAATATACAATACTACCACTCTTGAAATTTGACGATTTATAATTCAAATAGTAAAGGAACTATTTATAAAGATAGTGTTTTGTTGGCTGACCATTGTTTGTAATAACAGTTTCTCTTCTCCTTGATCAACAATCAAAGTTTGGGACGTCCACTTTTTAATAACTCCTCAACCCATATCTTTCTAAAAGCTTTTAACATTCTAATTATAGTAGTTCTAACAATTCCAAGTACTTTGAAATACGTGAAATTGTGCATCCGCCTTTATTATTTTAAATTTGACATTTTGCATGCATGTTTTTGAGAACTTTAACTACGATTTGGTATAAACTATTTATATCTTTATTGCGTATGTTTTTGTTTAATTAATTGTTTTATGACGGCCAAAACTTTGTCCAGAGTTAAGATAGTGTCATCTTCAGACCCTCTGTTTCAACCTTGCTCTTAAAATGGTAAAATGAGCTTCAAAGTTTTAACATCAATCTTATCTACTCCAACTTTATTTTCCATTGTAAAAATTAAAGAATTCATCTTTTAACAGTTCCGTTAAATCATTCAAAATATTGTTAATATGTTGTAATGGCAAAGCATCTTTGCTGTAATTAATACGATTTCTAAATGATATGTTGAAAATTTCCAAAGATGAAAAAATTGAGATTTATCATTGGGTCGGATGTTTAGAAATGAACTTGTTGATATCCTCCTCATCTGAGGATAAAAACATTATGAGTGGTGATAGATGGATGGATAGATGCGCATTATTAAAACCAGAATTTCCTATTTACCGCCACCATATTTATGCTAGATATATCATGGTAATTTAATAAAAAAATAAACTCGGATCACGCGTGCTCAAGCTGTTTATTAGATATCCACGTGATATTTTGATAAAGGAATTAAAGATGATTTATTTATTGAGTTTGTGAAATAAGTGGTAAATATTGATTAATAAAATCAATGTTTTACTGACTTCTTGAAAACCAATGTTTAGCAGTCCTCATAATAGCAACAACAACGACGACTACGACAACAACAATATCAACAACAACAATAATAAAATGTAATAATAATAATAATAATAATAAACACCATATTTGATTAATGATTCTATTACAAATATCACAAACAAAGTTTTTTTATTAAAGCATGCTGAAGCAGTTCGACAAATTCCAAATTGAAAATATTTCAGTCACTTACATTTCTATTTTATAATTAGAATTAAATAGTTATACATTTATTTATTTATATTATTTATTTACACATCTAGAATGTTGGAATAATAATGGAAATTGCCAAATTAAAATTCCTTCTTTTAAAGAAAGAACAGTCACAAATAAGTGATGTAATGAGACAAAATGAGAAGTTCATGATATGGGTAAAATTAAGAAAGAGTCTAGGAATATGGAATAATTATGAATTTCTACAGACATGCATGTAATGAGAATTCTGTTTTCATGTTGATACCATGCAAATATTTTTCAAAGTCACACACATTCTAAAATTCTTTATTAGCTAACCCATCTGTTAGGTTATCAGAATGAGCAAATCAGTTTTGTTATTTTTGGATCAAATACTATTATTATTATTATTACTACTATTCAAAAATTCATTTCTTTTTTGAGGAAATCATTTTATATGGAGTAGGAACAAATCATTTTTTTATTATCCAAATTTGGTTATGGATGTAATGTTTATATTATATTTTATTTATGTGGGTGTGTATCATCATCATGCGTTTCGTAGAACCAATTATATTTTTGACGAAGGGAGCAATTATTGCTCCAACACATTGACCTTTAACCAATAACGAAAAGATGGGTTTGTTGTTGTTAAAAATCTTGGCATGTTTCTGCAAATCGCGTTTGCGATAAATGGACAATTAAATATTTTTTAGATAATTCAATTGATCAAAATTTGGGCGACAACATCTTCCCATAGACAATAAATTAGTGAGTCAAAGAAGATTTTTAAGATGTTTTACACATATATATTACATGAATTGGCTAATATCAATTTGAAACATACTATATACATATTAATGAAACATTATTTAATTTTTAATTGCAAGCAATGTTATATTAAACATTGTTTGAATAATTAGGAATCTTCCTTGAACTCTTTTATGGAACGACATTCCCTGAGAATGATGTACGTTCGACGAAATGTTTTCAGGGCCGTATAAACATTACGTCAAATTTACCAACTAAAAATGACGAGTGGCCAAGAAATAACGTAAAAAAATTATACCGTTCATGTGCACATACTTCTATTTTTCGATTTTTCTAGAAGAAAAAATTTTTACGGAATAAAAATTCCGAAAAAAAAAAAGATAATAATAATAAATTAATATTAATACAGTAAAGATAATATAGCAAATCAAAATAAAAGGCTAATGTATGTATGTTGTATGTATGTGGGTTGTTTATTAGTTGCTGATTTGTTTGAAGATAACAAATAATTACGGATGGATTGATAAAACATGCCATTGAAGCCATTGAGTATTAATATATCGAATATGGGATCCAATCAATTAAACATATTAAAATGGTAAATTTGGTGGTGGATGGAATTTAGAGAATGTATGGTATGGATGTATGAAGTGCGTTCATTGAGTTGTAAAGGAAGGAAGTATCACGCAATTTTTTTGTAAATGAAAAAATAATTTTACACAGGTTTGAAACAAGAAGGAAATAAAGAAAGAAGGGAACGAACGAGTGACATGAATGAAAAAATGTTTAAATTGATTTCTTGTACGTGTGTATATAGTATAACAACACAAACAGTTATAAAACATCTATTTTGATTTTCTTTTTTCAATTGATTTCTGCGGGCGGTTGTACGTAGAAGTGTTAATCAAGATCATTATCAATCCATTATTTGATCATATGATTTTGTTAATACATAACAATAAAGATAAAGTCCTAATAAGAGCTTTCAATAAAGATTAATAGCGAATCTATTATATTGTCGAATAAATAGTTTCAGAACCATAAAGGGTTGTGCGTAGAAGGAAAATCATTTTTTATATTAATTTTGGTTTTTCTTCTCTAATTTTAGATGAATTAATTAATGGCTTTTTATTTTATTGCCAAAGATCTGGTAATATTAATGACAATGTATTGCTGAATACAGTTTATTGACCGGTCAGTAATAGGTAACAACAATAATAGTAATAATAGTGAAATTCGAATATCTAAATGGTGGCTAATGCAAACGTGTGTGGACGGGTTGATGAATGTTGGAAGTGGAGTGAAGCGAAATTTAGATGATGAAATAAAAATAAGGCAAATTAATATTTATGGCGCAATATATTTATACTGTGCCTGTGCCTCTATAATAAAATAATAGAGATGAAGGAAAAATATAATTTTACACAAAATTTATATTGTGCTATTATAATAAACAATAAACAACTGCGTATTAATTATTATTATTATTGATTGATGCTGCGTGAATTGTCATTCATTTTCACACATTCACATTTATTTTTTTTATTTACAAGTTTGATTCCTTTTTCCAGGTACCCCTTTATTATTCCTATTAGAAAGAATGCGAAATGTGTAAATATTAATATAAACATTAATATAAATAAAATAATCGGTCACATGATTAACTGAAAAAAACTTTTTTTTGGAATTTTTTTTTATATAAAAAAAATATAAATGAAAATTTTATTTTATTTTTGTCACAGTTGTCACAAGTAGTGGATAATCAATCTAAAAAATCTTCATCCCAATATAAATAATTGTGTGCAAGTTTATATGAGACGATCGTATACAATAAAGGGAAATAGTGTAACAAACAATACCAATTATTTAAAACATTCCATTTTTCTTTATTTCACTTAATTTTTATAAACTTCAAATGTTAATATTTAAATATTCGAGTCCAATACAAATTTTTTCAGCAGCAAACCCAACAGCAACGAATAAGTCGATAACATTGACAACAGAAACTGGATCCATAGCCTACAATAAGGGAAATATAACGAACCAAAAATAACATAGTCAACACATATGTTTTTATATATCATTTATTATTAATTTAATAAATTTTTTTATTTAATTTTTTTTATTTCTCTCTTATTTTTTACTTGTTGGTGTTAGAAAACTTTTATTCGGTTTGGTTTCGCTGTTTGGTTTACAGTAATAGTAAACGAAAAGCAAAAAAAAAAACTTTACAACATATTTATTTTTCCAAGCTGGTTAAGAAAAAGAAAAAAAAAAAAAAAAAAACTTCTTTCTCTCTTTCTTGGAGAAAAATTTATTTACGTTATCAAAAATACATATAATTTACTCTTATACTGGCTTTCATAATTAATCACATTTTATAATAATAATAATAATATAATATTTATATAGACATATATAGTATTTTCTAATTCGATTATGAATTATCATCAACAACTTAGATATAATCATAATTCAATTGAAATACCACCGCAACCGCCATCTTCTACCTTGTCATCTTTATCTTCTTCATCTTTATCTTCTTCAACTTCATCTTTATCATCTTCATCTTCTTTATCATTGTCTTCTTCATCATTGTCTTCGTCATCTTCTTTTTTATCTCCTCCATCAGTTTCATATAATTATCAACCTTTTATTATTACTCCTCCTTTTATTTCTCAACATCATGAGCAATTTGATCAAAAATTACAACCAACTTTTGAAATTTGTCGTGAGGCCGAGGACTCGATTAATCGTGCTATGAAGTATAATTTTAAAGTCGCTGCTACTTGTCAATATCCTTCCAAGAATAATTCCAAGATTGATTCTACGAGTGATTCTATGACAATGATAGATCTAGAACAACAAATGCGACCACCGCCACAGCAGCAGCAATTGATTAATTCTGTTAATACGAATAAACTTGTTCAAACCACTGCTAGAATTAGCAATACTACTGAAAATAAAATTAATAATAACGATATCGATAATAATAATGACTATACTACTATTCATAACATTATTCCTAATTTGATGAGCGAGAAAGAGAAAAAAGCAAAATTTGTTGAGAAGCTTGTCGGTGAGTAGAGAAAGTAAAATTTAAAAGAAAATTTTACATACCAATTTAATTTGATATTTTCGTAAGAGAGAAAACAATTAATGTTTGTGTATATATATTATTAGACATGACATGCCTTATAATTAATGTTATTTGGGCTGAATTAAGTGTTAATCCAAATACCAAAGTTATTCCACTAAAAATTTTTGTTCGGGAAACTTTAAGACGTTCTAGGACATCATACTCTACATTACAAGCAACTTTATTTTATTTGTTTCGAATTAAGCCCCAGATTGATTTGATTACTGCTAATGCTAATGGTGTTAATCAAGATAATCAGAAACAACAGAAACTTCTTGCTACGAGTAACAACAACAATAATAATCCTGCCACATGTTGTAGACGTATGTTTTTAGCTGCATTGATAGTTGCCTCGAAATATCTTCAAGATTGCAATTATTCTAATAGTGCATGGTCAAAGATCTCGGGATTGCCAGTTGGCGAAATAAATGCAAATGAGATTTGTTTCCTTCAATTGATCGATTATAATTTATTTATTTCTGAAGATATTTTTAGACGTTGGAGTAGTTTTCTATTGAAACACATCCAAGATACTTTACATAATGGTGGCAGTAATAACAATCATGGTAACAACCATAATGATAGTGAAAGTAATAATGGTGACTATGATAATAATAACCTCGTTAAGCCAAGTACTAATAATAATAATTATGATGGTATGAAATGTAATAGTAATATTAGCAGCAATAATAGTAATAATTCACAAACACGCAAAACACAATATGTAATTGGGTGTTGTGATGCTTGTAGAGGGAGAAACAGATTGTGTGATCGCTGCAAAGAAAGAAATAGGAATATTGATAATAATAACAACAACATGATGGATATTGATAATAATAATAGTAATTTTAGTTTTAACATTAATATCGCAAATGTTAATAATAATATTAGCAATAGCAATAGTCATAATCATAACCAACGATATGAGAATAATCAATATTCTGCGGCTACTGAATTTCAAGAAATTTTGAAATCAGAAGGATGTTATCAACGTAATTCAAACGTTAATAATAGAAATGATTCTAGAATTATGGCAAATTAAAAAAAATGCAATAAGGATACGATCTTTATTTATTTAACAAGTCACAAGAAATATATACAAAGTATTTTTGTGATGATGAGCAATTCATTATTATAACAATATTACTTGAGTATATTTCTTGTGACTTTTTTAAATAATGATGCAGAGATAGAGGTAAAAAAAAAAAGAAACAGAGGCATATATATGCATCCAAATGTTTTGATTCCATTACTTTGGACATAAGACTTGTGAAATACATAAGCTTTTACATATAATACTATATATTTATATATTATTATTATTATTATAGTATATATAATAAACATAATTGTATATAAATATATATACTATTTTATTCATTATTTATATTTTTATATTTATTTTATTTTTTCGTTTCATATTTCATATTATATATATTTTTTTATAAGTTAGTATGTATTATAATATATGAATGGCTTCGTTATATATATTATATTTTTTTTTTTTTAAATAATAATCTAGAATTTTTTAATAAAATTTTTTTTGTTTTTAATTTTTTTTTTTTAAAAAAAAAAATTTATTTATTAATTAGATTTCACATACTTGTATATTATGTATATTTACTATATATAATATACAAGTATGTATGGTAGCAGCCAGCATACAGAACATCAATCATCGAATCAAGCAAGATTTAAGAAATTTTCAATCAATCGATCGATTATTATTATTAAAGATCATTAAAGATGTTGGCTAGTGATACTAGTGATAATAATTGATGAATAATAATAATAATAATAATAATATTTAATTAATTAATTAATTTAATTAATTAATCTTTTAATCTTTTGATTCTTTTGATTATATTTTTTAATTTAGATTCTTTAAAATGGTGTATATATTTCAACAAAAAATTCCAGGGTTAACAAGTAATCCAAATAATGTGTGTTTAATTTTAACAGAATTTGTTTGCGTCACAACGTCTATGAATTCTGGAAGTTTCGACGAGGACACTGATAATTTTATCACGCGAGCTGTCCATAATAACGTGACATATCAACAAAACGAAAAGGCCTTTCTTTACCTAATTGAAATTCCGTGAATAAAGTTAGATTGCTTCATTTGCTAATTTTCATCTTTTTCCATGATGATGATGAACCGAATCAAAATAAAACCCCAATATTCCCTCCTTTTTTTTTTGTAGCCTCACTTTTTCTTTTTTTTTTCGCGTTTTCGAGCCAATTGATCCTGGAATATTTATACATCTGATTTTTTCAAAACAAAAAAAAATCTCCTGGGACGTCTCGATTTTCAGTATAGCAAAAAAAAATTTTTTTGTTTCCTTATTTATATATCGACTCCTTTTTTCTATTTCAGAATCAATATAAACCTTTGTTACCATTTGTAGATATTAAAACCTGCTTCTGCGTGTAAGAGCCATACTTTTTTTAATCGTGCACCAAAATGAAGAATTACAAGCTAAAGAATTATCATATGGAGGATTTTATACCTTAAACTGAAGTAATATTGGATTCACATTCTACGTAATAATGATGGCTTGGCTTCTAAAAACTTTTCTAAAAACGTATTCTCAAAACTTTCGATGTAGATTGCTGCGGACTGCGAGAGTTTCTTCTTTATATCTATAAATGGCCTTTTATGAACGCCAATGATGTTAAATAATAATTACAAAATAGATAATTAATTATATATATATATTGCTTATTTTATAATAATACCACGCAACACAAATTTACCAAAAAATATTGTTCTAGATTTCTTATCTGAAATCCCTAAATAAATACAATGTATTTAATTTAAAAAATAATAATAGTAATAGTAAAATGGAGGGGTTAAAAGATTACTATTACAATTTTCTTTGATAAACTAGATCACGTGTGTTTTGGCACATTTTAATTTTAAACTGGCAAAAATACTCGATGAGAAATTGAGAGTAATTTAAAGAGAGTCGATTAATAGCAGAATTGTAGAATTGTTAAAGGTAATAATTATTCTATTAGCAATTTTTGTATTTAATGTATTTTCTTTAAAAAAAAAGGAAAATGATGAGAAAGATAAATGATAAAAACGATGACAAGGAAGGAACGATAGTCAAGTTTCACTTCTACAACCACATACTTCCTTAAAGAAGTATGTCATTTCATAACATACGACAACGATTATTATAATATATCGCAAATATTTACAGCACCACGCATTGTCAACAAAATAATGATAAAAGAAATGCCGACAGCACATGACTACCCTTCGATTTTGGTGGTAATGACAGCTAGCCTCGTATATATAATGATAAATATATTTTTATTAATAATACTTGGTTAGGTACATTTCCCCAACAAAAGTGAAATTAATAAAACTAGTCTCAATTCAATTCGTACAAGGTAGTCATTTTAGTTAGTGAAATGAGTTGTCGGGGAATCTTCCTGTATGAGAATAGTGATGTTAGCCGGCTAAGGGAAATTTAAAATTTATTTTTACGTCGGAATTTTAGTGCAGAATTCGGTGGCATAGACATTTAGTTGAGATGGGTCCACCTACATTACTTAGAATGACAAAACATCAAAAAACAAAATGCAATACATAAAAATCATAGAGTTCCTATTTGTAATGCAAATTCTTATTTTAATTGGAATTAGTGTTGGTTTCAAAAACTAGAGAGTTTCGCAACCGTGCGAAAGTTAAAAGGTTTCGCCATAAGTCGAAACTAGTTTTGATTTTTGACTATTGACTTTTGGTTTAGTTTTGACATATAACTTTTAATTTTAGCTTTGACTTTCGTCTCTTCAAAATAGTTTTGGCGACCAACACTAATTGGAATTCTTATTATTTGTTTTATTATTGTTATTCATTTTATTCGAATTTTTCGCTCTATTCGTTTTATTCGTTTTACTCGAATTATTCGTTTTATTCGTTTATTCGAGTAAATTTTCGATGTAATTCCGAATCGAACCCGGACACTTTACCGACAGGACACTTTGCTGACAGGACACTTCACCGACAGGACACTTCACCGACAAGTATTGTGTTAACAATTTGCCAAGGACTGTGTGAATACCTGGATAACTAGCTAAAAATTTGATTTTTTACAACAAATTAAATCAACCGTTAATTAACTAATAACACCACTTATTATCCTTACTTTGCAACAAAAACAAGTTCATAAAAATACAATATAGATACATGTGTAATATATTTTTTTGTCTGACGAAATTGATAAAAATTGCATATTCATGTTATTTTTTTATTAAATTTATTTATCAAAAACTTTTATTGTGACAC